CCTCCTCCTCCTCCTCTTCCTCCCTCCTCCTCCTCCTCCTCCTCCTCCTCGCCCTGGGGGGGCGTGCCCCCGCGTCGGGGCCCCCGCGGTCCTGAGCTTCCTCAGCCTGGCCGCCTGCAGGCGCGCGCGCGTGCGCGCGAGCGCCGAGCCCCCCGGGTGCAGCGTCGGAAGGGGCGGGGAGGAGAAGGGCATCCAGGGAGGAGAAGGGCATCGAGGAAGAGGCGGGGAAGAGAAGGGCATCGAGGATGACGGGAATGGGGAAAGAGAGGGGCCGTTCTGCCATGACGAGGAGGACGAAACTACTGAGATGGTGATGATGATGATAATGGCGATGGTGCTGATGATGATGCAGGTAATGCTGATGCTGATGATGATGTCGGTGATGATGTTGGTGATGATGATGATGCTGATGATGCTGCTGCTGCTGCTGATGATGATGATGATGATGATGAGGATGGTTGTGATCCTGATGCTGATGATAAATGCTGATGATGCTGATGAAGATAAGGGTGGTCATGATGATTATGATGATCCATATTATCAACATGGTCCGTGGGGTTATGAATTTCTTCTCGGACGCGCCCCACCCGCGCGACGGCAACACATATCCTTCCTTTCTTCCTCACCAACAAAGATGCTGTCTGACGCAGCACGACGGCCGCATGAGACTCACGTATAAAACCGTACACGCATAATACACATACACACACGGAAAAAAACACAGACGCGGACCGCACACATACACACAGCACACATGCAACACGCATACACACAGCGTGGCATTGCTTCACACCAGGGGGGTAATCCCTCACCGCGGTCGCTATCCGTCTCAGGGTCGCGGGGCGTGGCAGGCGTGACACTCTCTCCACACCACAAGTGGTGCGCAAGGGGGTGGTCTTTCACTGCGGTCTCTATCCGTCTCAGGGTCGTGGGGCGTGGCGAGCGTGGCACTTGAAGCTCCACACCAAAAGAGCGCGCAGGGGGTGGTCCCTCACCGCGGCCGCTATTCGTGACGGTCGTCTGGGCGTAGCAAGCGCGGCATTTTCTCGACCCCATAGGGAGTGCGCACGGAGACGGGCCCTCACCGCGGCCGCGGAGGGGGTTGGACCCTCATCGGGGCTGCTATCCGTAACGGTCGTCTGGGCGTAGCAGGCGTGGCATGTTCTCGCCTCTCAGGGGGTGCGGAAAGGGTGGCCACTGAAATGCACGTCGTGCGGAAGGCTCGGTGCGGACGGCTCGGTGCACGTCGTGTCGCTGAAATGTGCCATGTCCGCGCTGCCCCCTCCGTGCCAGCAGCTCAAGAACTCAATGCTCGAGTCGGGCGCCGAGATGAACCAAGACTTGCGCGAATCTGTCATTGGATATGGGGCGGGCTTGCTACGCATCGCATTTATGATATGGGAACGACAGCTTTCAAACTGGTGGCCTGAGACGCTCCTCACCAGGTATAACGAGTTGCCGCGTCAACGAGATGCCGACGATGCCAGGGTGTCTGGTGAGGGACTTGTAAGACCCTTCTTCGGGCGGGTTTTTGTAAGGCGCTTCTTTTGAACTACCCAGGGAAAAGGGTGCAAACGATGGCCTGCCGCCAGCGAAAGTTCGGCGAGTTCACGAGGCATGCGTCGCGGGCCCTGGCCCAGAACCTCTCTCAGGACAGCATGCCGCCCCCATGGAGACCACGCCCGTTAGGCCCACGCCAACGAAACCGCTGCCCGCGCAGGCTTTCACGCCGCAGCGATCTCTAGCTGTTCTACTGGCTACATCTGTTCGTTCCATTGGCACGCCTTGGTCCGGTTGGTCTGTTTGGTTGCCCTGGCTGGCTGGCTCGTCCAGCTTCCCAGGCTTCCAGCGTTTCCGCGCATGACTTGTTGGACCCAAGAAGGCTCCAAGACGGGCACAGAAGGCCCCAAGAGGCCCCCAAGACGGTCCAAGAGGGCCCCGAGTCGCCGAACGATCGCCCCAAGACGCTCAAGATGGCCCCCAGACGGCCCAAGATGCCTCCAAGACGCCCCACATGGCCTCCAAGAGGCTCCCGAGAGGGCCCCATGAGGCCAAAATGATTGATCCCCCCTTAGCTTGTCAAGGATTTCGGCGTTCTCGCCGCTTTGGCTTCCCGACGCCCCCAGAGGGCCCTAGAGGCCCCCCAAACTGGCCCAAAACGGCCCAAGAGACCTCCAAGAAGGTCCAAAACGGTCCCCGAGGGCCCCAAGAAGCGCCCAAAACGGCCCAACAGGCCCACACTAATGAGGAACCACAAGGCCCCAAAACGGTCCCCAAGAAGTGTCCAAACTGCCTACAAGAGGCCCTGGAGAGGCCTCCCACGAAACCCCAACGAACATCCAATAGGTTTCATGCTCACAACCCATGCGCGGTGGCGGGATGGGCCGAAGGCCATTCGATGATGATGATGATGATGATGATGATGATGATGATGGTGATGATGATGATGATGATGGTGCTGGTGCTGGTGCTGGTGATGGTGATGATGATGATGATAGCGATGATGATGATGATGTTAATGATGATGATGCTGATGATTATGCTGATGATCATGATGCTGATGTTGATGATGATGGTGATGATGATGATGGTGATGGTGCTGGTGATGATGATGATGTTGATGATAACGACGATGCTGATGATAATGATGATGACAATGCTGATGAGGATGATGATGATGGAGATGAGGATGATGATGATGAAGATGGTGATTGTGATGATGGTGATGACGATAGTGATGTTGGTGATAATGGTGATGACGATATTAAGTATGATGTTGTGATTGCTGTTGCTAAGGATGATGATCATGATTACGATGATGACGGCGACGATGATTACGATCATACTCATGATCATGAAGATGATGGTCATGATGATGCTGATGGTGGCAATGATGACGATGCTGGTAGTGGTGATAATGGTCACGATGGTAATGATGATGATGGTGAGAATGACGACGATTGTGCTGATGATGACAAGGGTAACGGTGATGATGATGATGCTGATTATGATATGATGGTGTTGTTGATGTCGATGTCGATGTCGATGATGATGATAATGGTGATGATGATGATAATGATGTGGACGATTCGGGGCCATCTTCTTTGTGCAAACGGCGGAGGGCGGCCACGAGCGATACGCCAGCAGCGAAGCACAGACCCGGAGAAACATTAAAAGCTCAAGTGGGTGGGAGGGCCCAGGGTAGAACTTGAGCGAGGGAATACGGCCGCGGTGTTGCCACAAATGCCGACAAGTCGCTGTATGTGGACGATTCGGGGCCATCTTGTTTCTTATTTGTGCAAACGGCGGAGGGCGGCCACGAGCGATACGCCAGCAGTGAAGCACAGACTCGGTACCGCACGCTAGTCTACCCAGGTGGCAACAGCCGAATTACTCATTGACCAAACATGTTCTTATATCTCGCGGCGCGGGACAGATGACGAGCTTCGGCCACTATCATTTCAGTGCCAGCAATGGCCACTTCCGAGAGGAGACCCTTAGCAGAGGCACGAGCTACGGCGCCCAGAGCTGGACGCCCCAGGCCTCCCAGGTGACGTCTCTGAGTGCGATCACAGGGGCGCAGAGGCAACGACGAGCGAGGCAATCAAGGTCCCGCACGCCCCAACCGACAAGGTGGATTCGCTGTCTCACGCGACCCGCATGCATGCATGAGTCGAGGGAGCAGGAAGAGGAGGACGAGGCAAGGAGAAGGGACAGGCGGGGATGCCTCCAAATGAGGCTCGACTCAGGGCGCATAAAAATGATCGGGGCTCTGCGGAAGATACATTCAGCAATCAATTTGAAGGTGGAATCAGCCACCGCGTTGGCCACTCGCACGGCACGACAGGCGGCCTCTGAGGATTTATTCACGTGCAACAGAGAATCAAACTTGCGGACACGCGCCGCCCCTGGCGCCCAGGTGCCCCAGGGCAGGGATGCCCAGACTCCAAGCACAGCCGAGGCGCGCGCCCAGCCAGTCAGAGCCTTCAGGACCTGAGGGTCAGCGAGGTCGTCGAGGCGATGTCGAGCAACGTTCGCCGCTGCGGCGCCGAGCCCGCGGGCCTCGCACACTCGCCGAACGCGGTCGGGGACACAGGTGCAGAGCATGATGAGGTAAGGCATCACTGTGGCACGCGCCCGCGCTCGTAGCCACAGGCGCCTCACACGAAGAGCCACTTGTCGGTCATCGCGGGAGCCGTCTGCACCGGCGGTGACGCCGACGCCGGCCCCAGGGGCGGCAGCGGCAGCGAGAAGATGCCCGTCCTCGCCATCACGTCCATCAGGCCCAGCAGATCGCTCTCGACCTTCTGCCCGAAGTCCACTAGCGCGGGGTCGAGCTGGGCCAGCCGCTGCTGCATGCGCGCCCGCTTGGCGTACCTGTTCAGAGACTGGTCCGTCCTCCACCTGCCGCGGTCCTTGACCTCCTGCCGCGCGCGGCGACCCGAGAGGAGGTCGTCGGAGGCCCCCCCGTGGCGCAGCGAGTAGAGGGAGGTCTGCTGGTCGGAGATCCCGAGCTGGACCAGGGCCTCCGCGAAGACGCGCCGCAACTGGTGCGGCGCGAAGGCCCAGAGGCTCTCCTCCGCGCGGCGCCCTTGCCGCAACGCCTCGAGGAGAGGCCAGAGGAGCGGATCGTCGACGATGACGCTCTCGTCGGTGACCCCCGTCTTGCCAGGCCTCCCGCTCGCCGCGTCGTTCACCAACAATGCCCAATGCTGGTAGCCCTCCGTGGAGCCCGACCTCGGAGCGATCAGGGAGGCCGCCGTGAGTCGGCAGGCCTCGCTGGGGCGGAGGTACGTGTCGAACGCGATCCTCACGAAGACCGCCTGCGACAAAAGCCCCTGAGATAGCAGCACGCCCGCGATGGCGAACATCGCGACCCTCGGCAGCGGGAGCCGCATCTGCGGCGGCACGAGCTTCGCCCAGCCCTGGAGGGCCCGAAAGGCCCGTGGGAGCGGGCGGCCCCCCATCAGCATCGACGGCAAATGGTGCTTCAGAGAGGCCATCGTGACGCGGCCCGTCGCACTGTCGTGCCCGTCGAGGAAGAGGTGGACGAAGAACACCACGAGGATCGTGTCGAGCTCGACGCTGTTCTTGAAGTCCCTGGCGGTCCAGAGGCACCAGTTCAGAAACCTGAGGGCGGAGGCGTGGTAGTTCCTGCCCGTCGACTCCGAGACCGCGTTGGCCTCCAGCACCGAAAGTCCGCCCCGCAGGAGCGTCAGCGGACCAGGATGTTCCCGCTTGCCCCTCGCCGCCTTGATCACCTCCCTGAGGGATCCGCGGGCGGCGCGAGACGAGGTACGACCCGACGTCCTCGAAGCTAGGGCCGACGAAGAAGCCCTCCCTCGACGGCTTGTCCGCGACATTCCACTCTGACGGCACCCACCGCGCGAGCAGGCGCAGGCCGCGGGCGAGGGCCACGCCAGCGATGCGCCGCAGGGCGCGGAGAAGATGTCGGCTCCCGGACCGCCCCTTGCCGAGCGAAAGAGCTAGGGCCAAATTGTCCACGATACAGACGACGCGATGATGATGAGCACCCAGGGCCCTCGAAGCGTGATGGACGCTGAACCCCAGGGCCTCCGCCTCGTACTGAAGGGTATCGCAGCCTCGTCGGGTATGACGGCTAGAGTGCATGGTCTTCCAACCCTCGGCCCCGTAGATGGACTCAGGAACCTCGAGGAACCCACTGAGCCCAGACGACGAAGCAGTAGGAGCAGTAGACGATGTGTCGGCGCGGCAACCGTCGGCAGCATCGCCTCGACCGTCGACGTCCAGGGCGTGTGATCTGGCAAGCACAGCATCCCCATGACGATACCTCCAGCGCTCGGCGACTCGGCCGACCTCAGACGACAGCGCGGGGGAGACCTCCTTGACACAGACACCCTTCCCGAACGGCGACGCATCAGAAGCATGCACCCGTGGATACCAGCGAGACCTTGTAGAGGCACTCCAGAGCGGGATGAGGGCCACGGCAGCCGACAACTCCCTGACGACCGAGGGCCACAGGGGTCCAGGATGAGGTCCCACAGCCCCCATGAACCGATAGACCGCGTTAAAGATGCTCAGAACGTCGCGCCTCGGGATCATCCCCCAAGCACAGTGGCCTACGAGCACGCTCAGGGCCCCAGCAGAGGCCCGCCCACGCTTCAAAAGTCCGAGAACGGCTTGACGAGTGCGAGCGAGGCGGTCAGCACGAACGCGAATGATCCCAGAGGCTCCGTCGATCTCCAAGCCCGTGAAGACCCCCATACTGACCGCATGGGAGAACTCCAAGACAGGCAACCCGCGGGCCGTGAGAAGGTCAGCAACGGCACGAGCAAGGGACGCGGCTGTCTCCGCGCACTTGAATACGACACAGAAGTTGTCAACATATCCTGCACACACCGCGTCCTTCTCAGCCACCAAGGGGCGAGGACAGCCCCCATCCAAAATCACATCGTCACTGCCGAACCCGACATCCGACAGGGCTCTCGTCAGCGCACTCTGGCACAGGTGGAGGGCCCAACTCCACCCCATGGGAACGACCGTGACAAGAGGCTGGACACAGTCGTTGATGCCAAGACGAACCCCGTTGACCGACTTGAGGCCAAGGAATCTGTTGTTTATCGGTGGCAAAGAGAACAGAGACTCCATGCCAGCTGGCAATCGCAAATGATAGAATGCACACTGAATGTCGCCCTGCGCGAACTGAAAACTGTCGTCGCAGTCAAGGCTGGCCCGCGCGCTCGGCGTGGGCAGGCGAGTGGCTGGTGGGCGCGAGAAGCTGCAGTTGGCCAACCTGGTGTCGAGCACCAACCTCAGCTTGCCGATTGATTTCTGCACGAAGAAGAGACCAGTAGAGAAGGATGCCTGCTCGCTGGAGACCCGCCAGGTGATCATGTCGTGGGCCTCCAGCTGCTTCAAAAACTCAGCGTAGGACTTCGGCTTAAAGCGCAGCTCAGGATCCACGTAGGGGGCGGATAACCCCCGGCGATTCGCGAAGCTCCGCCGCCACCGACTCGGGATTCAACATACTCTGCCTCCAATCCTGCAGCGCGATGGAGTCGGCCTCGGAGACGACGCCGCAGGTGGAGACTGCCTTCGTCGACTCGGGCCAGGCCACAAGCGGCATGCTGTAGGGGCGCACTCGACCGCTGTCACCAGCGTAGCCAGGTACCTGCGCGAGCATCTCTACGAGGGATGCTTCGCAATCGCGGCCTCTCTCCGAGTAGGCGGCGGGCAGCTCGAAGTCGCGGTGCAAGCCCGCGATGTAGTCCACTGAGGCTGCCTGGGCCGCAGGCGGTGGCCCCCCATAGTCGGGCATGGAGGGCTCGCCCTTGCCGCAGTGGAGCCAGTTGAGAGCAGACAACCCCTCGTTGCGCCACTCTCTCCAGCCCGCGCCTTTGGCGGCCCGCAGACGAGCCCCGCGACCAAGCGGAAGATGGCGACGCCCATCCACTGGCAGAAGAGGAAGCGAAAAAACGTCACGCTGGCGATGGTCACCTCGCCTGGGCAACTCCAAGCCAGGTGGAGCCTCGAAGGGCTCGGGGCCAAGCTGGCCAGGCTCACGAACAGGTTGCACGTCGCGAGGCCCCTCCTGGCCAGCGCCCTTCAGGAACGTCATGGGTGCCGCAAGGCCCGCTCCTCGCGAGCCTTGCGGCGTTCCTTTGCAACAGCTGCCTCACTCTTCATCTGGTCGGCGATCCAATCCATCAAGGCTGGGCAAATGCACAGGTTGCCCATCGTCTCTCCAGTGCCGAGGAAGTGGCCGATCTCAGAGGAGACGTCGGCGGCCGCGGCCGCGGCGCCGTCCTTGGCCTGGCCCTTGGCCTTAGGCGCAGGGCGGGTCCTGCGCGCGCGCTCCTCGAAGAAGCGCTCCTCCACCAACTGCAGCTGCCGCGGCGGGAACTCGTAGGAGGCCAGCTCGCAGATGATCAGCTGGTCGTGGCAGAGCGAGGTCTCGATGACGCGGCACAACGTCTCGTGGAGCTTGGCGGCGTCGTCCGTCTCTAGGGCCTGCATCATGGCCATCCAGCGGCTGTGCCGCGCCATCGGCCCGCCAGCCATGCGGAGCATGAAGTGGAGCACCCACATGGTGGTCCTTGGGCCCCTCACGGGCCAGTCGGCGCGGGGGGTCTCGGTCTGGCGCTTCACAGCGTCACTGAAGGGCATGTCCCGCAACCCGCGAGCGTCGAGGACGGTGGCCATCACGCGGGGGTCAGGCCCCACGACGCCTGGGGCCGCGGGGGCCGCGGCGGCGCCGCCGACGCCCGGAGGGTCAGCGGCGGCAGGCAGGGCGGCCCCCCCCGCACCGAGCGCCGCCGCCAGCGCGCCCACCCCGCCCTCGGGCGCAGCGGCCGCCGCGGCAGGCGGCCCAGGGGCGCCCGCGGGGGGCGCGGCCGCGCCAGCCAAGGCCAGCGCGCCAGGCGCTGCGGCAGCGGGCGCCGCTCCGAGCGGGTCGGGCAAGGCCAGCACCCCCGCCGCCACGCCCAGCACGTTGTCGGCGCTGAGCTCGAGGTTGAAGGGCGACGGCGGCAGAGGCCCATGGCCCTGAGCGACGCCGCGGCGCACAGCAGCCCAGACGACGGCTGCAGACGGCAGCCGCCTGAACTTGTAGAGGTTGTGGGCGGCGACTCCGACGATCGCGTCGCCCTGGCCCGCCGAGTCATGCACAGATCTCAAGTCGCCACCTGCCAAGTCGCTCTCAGCATAGTCGTCATCGTCAGGGGCGAGGATGTACCCAGGCAGCAAAGTGAGTCTTTCGTGATAGATGGCGGGCCCCCCGACGTTGTACCGTACGTAGTGGAACTGCCCAGCGGCGCGAGCAGCCATTGCTCCTAGCGACGGAACTTCCTCGCCTGAGCAGCCGCCGCAGTCGCAAGGTCGAGAGTGTCCACGGCCTCCTGCTGAGGTGCTGGAGCGGGTGCAGGCTGTACCACGGGGGCCGCCAGAGAGCTCTTGACGAAGTAGCCGCCGACGACGATGCCGTACGCGAAGGCGCTCACCACGAGCACGACCACGAACTCGGTTGACCAGCCTGCGGGCTGAGCAGATGCCAGGGAGCCCTCGCCCGTCGGGCAGCGGCACTCCAGCGCTGGGCAATGCAGCGCAGGAGAGCAGACGCAATCTGGGCAGGGCGTCGAGCTGCCGCGAACGATGATGGCAGTGGTGAGGGCACTGGTGAGGTCGGCGCAGACCCGCTCAAAGAATGCGTGCATTCCTTTAGAACTTGAGCGAGGGAATGCGGCCGCGGTGTTGCCACAAATGCCGACAAGTCGCTGTATGATGATGCTGATGATAATGATGATGATCACCATCATCATCGTGGTGATGCTGCTGATGATGATTGTGATGATGATGATGACGACGAGGACGACGATGATGATATTACTGGTATCCTGATGATGACGGGGCTCTGATGATGATGAGGATGGAGTGGGATGCCAAGATGATGAGGAGGAGGAGGATGAGGATATCGGTAAATGGGTAATAGCTACATGAATGCCTCCGCACAGCGCCCGCGCCGTGCTCCAACACAAATGCCAGTCTGGCGCTGCCCACGCCCCGACTGCCGATCAGGCGCTGCCGCGCCCCGACGTTGGGTGTGTCCCGTGGGACCCAAAACAGCATTATAGAGGCCCTCAACTGCCCAAGGCAGTGAGACGGTCCCACGGTGGCCACCGAACACCCACCATACGGCCAGAAGGGCTTCAAGACGGACCAGGAGAGACGAAACCGTTCCAAGACGGCCCGAACGAGCTCCATGAGAGCTCCTCAAATAGTGAAGACGAAAGATGTCTCATGTGACGGCCTTCATCTTCCTCATGTTCGTGCTACTCCTCATCCTCGTCCGCCTCCTCCGCCTCCTGCTCCTCCTACTTCCTCCTCCTCCTCATCATCATCACCATCGTCATGGCCATCATCATCACCATCATCATCATCATCATCATCATCACCACCACCACCACCACCACCACCACCACCACCACCACCATCATCATCATCATCATCATCATCATCATCATCATCATCATCATCATCATCATCATCATCATCATCATCATCATCATCATCATCGTCATCGTCATCATCATCGTCAGCATCATCATAGCATCATCAGCATCATCATTATCATCATCATCACCGCCATCACCATCACCATCATCATCATCATCATCATCATCATCATCATCATCATCACCGTTATCAGTAACATCATCACCATCATGAACATCATCATATCATCATCTTCATCAGCACAATCGTCATCATCACCGTCATCACCACCGTCATCATCATCATTATGAACATCGTCATCAGCATCATCATCATCAGCAGCAACATCATCATCGTCAGCAACATCATCGTCATCATCATCATCGTCATCATCATCAGCAACACGATTATTATCATCAGTATCAGCAGCAACACGATCGTCCTCCTCTTCCTCATCATAATCCTCAGCACTGCTCTCTCAAGCCTGAAAGCACGAGGTGTCACACGTGACGGCCTCCCCTGCCCCCTCGAACAGTCGCCACCAAGAATGCTGGGCTGACACGGTGGCGGGGCTTGCAGCAGGCAGCTGGATACTCCTCCTCATCCTCCTCCTCGCTCCGCTTTCTCTCTCTCTCTCTCTCTCTCTCTTTTGTCTCTCTCTCTCTCTCTCTCTCCGTAAACATAGATATATGTGTATATATATGTACATTTTCACCAAACAATGCTTGCTCTCAAAAGTTCTCACTTGTGTTCTGAGTCAGCCCCTGCGGGTCTGGCCAGCTCGTCGCCGCCCGCCGCCGTCGTCCGTCGCCGCCACTTGCACTGGGCCCCGGAGCCGGTCGGGCGGCCCGTCGCCGCCCGTCGCCGCCGTCCGTCGCCGCCTCTGGCACTCGTCCACTCGCACTCGTCCACTCGCACAGCACAGCACTGCCCAGCTTAACGCAGCATAGCATGGCATTGCACAGAAGGGCATGGTAGCATAGCATATGATAGCATACGATAGCATGGTGCAGCCACCGTCGTGCGACTCCAGATTGCACCGCATCGATTGCATTGCGGCGGTTACCCCGCATTGATTGGCACTACATTGATTGGCACTGTATGGATTGCACTGCATGGGTTGCACTGCGTAGGCTGCACCTCACATATCACATCGCTGAGTATGCTGGAACACACTGTTTGGGGTCCTCTCTGGCTAACACACACACACTACACACATATTCAGATGAACACAATATACGTAGATATACGATGTGCATAAACATTAAATATGCATGTATAGACTCACTTGTATATGCGTATATATATATATATATAGATACATCTATATAGAATTATGCTCGCCACCCCCTAAAACCCACTGCACTGCACCTTCGATTCCCGCCCGTCGTTCCGTCCACTCTCACATCCTCCTCCTCTTCCTCCACTTCCTCCTATTCCTTCTCCTCCTCTTCCTCACCCTTGTCTTCTCATCGGCATCATCCTCATACAATCACTCCCTTCCTTCCCCTTCCTGCTCCTCCTGATCCTCCTCCTTGTTATCCTCATCCTCAGATCTCCCACATGGAGGAATGAGAAGGGAGAGTGGTATGATGATGAGGGGAGTGATATCAGGAAGAGGGGTATAATTTGGGGGTGATGATGCAGTTCAGGAGTCAATCACCCCCCTTCTGCTGCTTAAATCGACTATCCTCCCAATCGCCCTCCTTCTATCCCTCCTGCTCAGTCTACTCGTCATCATCCGTTGCTTCCTCTAGGAGAGGCCAGGAGGATGATAAGGAGAACAAGGAGGATGAGGAGGACTGGCCCCTCAACTACACCCATTTTACCTCTTCCCCCCTCCCCCCTCCTCTCCAACCTTCCTCCGTCTCCTCCCTCCGCCTCCCCCTCCCAAAAAGGATGATGCCAATGATTAGCTCCTCTCCCTCCCCCCTCCGTCTTCTCCTTCCGTCTCGGCCCCCAAGGAGGATGTCGCTGGCTAGCTCGTCCTCCTCCTCCTCCTCCTCCTCCTCCTCCTCCTCCTCTGCGTCGTCCTCCTCCTCCTCGTACTATCACTCGTCCTCCTCCTTATCCTCCTCCTCCACCTTCTCCCACCGTCACTATGGCATGAGGAGGGATGGTGACATATGAGGAAGGAGGACTCATCCTGCCGGCGCGCCCGTGCCTAGCCCCGTCGAATCCTCCCGCCCCGTCCACCAGCTCCCACGAAGTCCCGCGAAGGGAGATTCCAGGCGCCCGATTTGGCAAAAGGCGCGCCACATCGCACGTTGCCTTCCTTTTCGCCGCCGCCCCCTCGCCTCCTCCAACCCTCCTCCTTCAGCGCGCTGCCCCGACGCGCGTTGACTCCATGATGGCCATCGACCCGCGTCATTTTCGCCGCGCCGTCAACGCGGTCAACTCGATTTCTGTCGCGTTCCACCGTTGCGACCCCCGCGACTCGCGCTGCCTCGCCTTCAACATTCGCGCCCCTTTCTACGCCAGCGGCGCTGACGACGGATGGCAAATCGCTTCCCTGCGGGCGACGTCGCATCTGCCGCCTCCTGCGCGAAAACAACGAGGGCCGCGTCCATTCGGTTCCTTGCGCAGCCGGCGAACGCCGCGAACCCCCCGGGATCGACCTTGTCGTCGTTGAACCTGCTCACGCCTACCCCAAGGCAATCAAAATACGCAACGCAATGGTTTTCACGGTCCAGGTGACGGATTGCGCCCTGAAGCCGGCACCTTACGCCACCATTGCCCGGCCAACCCATCTTTTGGGGAATCCGCGCGCGAGCATTCGCCCTGTCCATGCCTTGAGCCATCCTTCTGCTGAGAACTACTGTCAGGAAAAGCGGTGGCGAGACAGCAGGGCTGTCGTGCGTTTGCGACGGTCCTTGGCGACCGTGCCACACTTCGCCCTCCGCCAGCGTCGGCCGAATGCTGCGCGACGCGCACGTGGACTTCAACCATTGCGCCGAAGCACAATGGCTGCGCATGTCCCGCGTGCTCCCGCACCTGAATAGTCATGAACCGTTCTCGTCTATACACATCCGAGACCCAGCCGCGCCCCTTGCAATGCCGTCTCCGACGAACCGCGTACCCCAGCACGTACTCGTCCACGAACGAGCCCCGGGGCAGTCGCGCTGCCGTTCTACTCAACGCAGTGGGCTCAGCGAGACTTAATGTCTGCGCAATGGCATCCCAAAGCTCGCTCGCGTCGCACTGCATGTCTTCTCGGAATTCATTGACGCGCCCGTGCTGAAGCAAACCGGCCCGCGTCGCTGTCACTGCCGGCACCTGCTCTCGCGCCGTGAACGGGAGCTCCCCAAAAGTGGGATTCATCAGGGCTGCCTGTTCGGCCAATGCGCACGCGCCACACTGCGTCGCCGACCGCGCGGCGCACGCTTCCCCGCGGCGAAGCACTGCGCGTCGAACAGGCCCGAGTCGCAGCAACACCTGCGCGACGGCGTTCGCGAAACATGAGTTTCCAATATTCGGCATGCCTTTGATGCGGGGACGATCGCACTTCCACGCGCCCCCCGAACATAACTCCCGCGCTGGCTCGCCATATAGCATCTCTCCGAGATCCACCTTTGGCGGGGGCAGGCGTGCGAGATGCGACATGGTGCTCTCGTCTGGGCCTTCACGCTCGCGCGGCGCGCCCACCGCGTGCTCCTCTGCGCGCGACGTTCTTTCGCTCCGGCCCCGCGCCATCGACCGCGCCCATGGGGCATCCACCGCGTCCCCGCGCCTTGCGAGATTCGCGAGGGCGCCCCCTCCGCGGCGCACTCGAGCGAGATGCCCTGCTGACAGCCACACGACCGCGCCCGCACAAGCACCCGCACAATCTCCCAATAGCCATCGACGTCGCGGTTGGTCCCACATGAAATCGCTGGCATCGTCGGCCTCATGCACCCACACAAACGAGTGCTGTTTGTGCAGCCACCTTTCCACGGCGGCCACGTTCTCCCCCCCGACGGAGCCCGCGCCGTCTTCTCCAGATCCCACGTCATTCTGGCACTCCCGAGCAAAGACGCGCATCGCCTCTCTCCGCGCTCGCCA